AATGCCAACTTGAGACATTTGTGGCGCCGTCGCGACATACGGTTGTCCGTGAAGGGTCAAGTACATGCTGCAACAGTTCGGCCAGTTCTGCTGTACGGTGCAGAGACTTGGCCATTAAGGGAACAGAATAAAAATAGACTGTCAGTGTTCGAACACCGCTGTCCACGTCGCATTGCACGAGTCGGGTGGGGATACCGGACGAGCAATGCTGAGGTTAGACGCAGAGTTTTAGGTAATTGCGGTCGTCCACTGGAACAGGTAGTCCACCTCCATAGATTACGCTGGTTGGAACATGTGCTACGCATGTCACCAGATAGGTTGCCACGGTGAGCGATGCTTGACGAGGCAGGCAGCGGTTGGAAAAAAATGAATGACGGTCAAGCTAAGACCTGGCATGAGGAGATGAAAACCCTGACAGGAGACTGGCTCACATAGGTCCCGTTAGGTTCCCTGGCGGGGGACCCAGGGATCATGGTCACCGGTGGTTAGAGACAATGAGCGATATTGCTGGGTGTCGCAAACAGTGGTGCTTATGCATCTACTCATTATTCTTGTATGAAAATGTGCTACCTTCTGCTTAAATCTGCTCTCAAAATTCTAATCATCATCCTGCTACTTTATCCAAATGGGCAACCAAAACCCGAGCATGAAAGTGCACGGTTAATGGTTGTAAGAACTGAACTGAACTCACACCGATATCTGCAGGGTCTAGAATCAAGTATTGATCAGTAGTACTATAGTACTGTAGCACTGTAAAACTGATCAGTAGTACTATGGAAACAAAATCACACAAAAAATTGATTATATCAAACGACTCCTAGACCACATAGTAATCTCTTTCTTTGTGCCAAACCAGAAAGTGTATAAATGAATTGGTCGTGGTGTAGCGATCCAATTAGTGGTGCAAAAATTGCGCGTTTGTCGCAAATAAACTTGGAAAAAACAATAGGCGCTGTTTATGAATCGATATTTTCGCGAATACTGTCGGCGAATGGCGTGATAGTCATATGACATGACTACAAAAGAAAGTTGCTTGTCTGAAAACGACACTAAAGGCTGGTATAGCAACGACCCCAGGGGCAAACACATCATTTGACAAGATGAAGAAGATTGGTTCTTGTCATTTGAGTTGATCAAACTCTGCGGGTGACCAAACATTCGCAAACAAAATGAGAATCTAGGAGACAAAACAGAGGAAGAGAGGGAGATTATTTGTCTGTTTTCGATATTCGTTTGACATTCTGAAGCACACATGAATTCGTGGGACCCCCTAGAGGCAGCATGCATGCGGGGCAGTAGAGTCCCTACAAGAAACATAACTGAGATCAGTCGAGCTCAAACTGTGCTCTAAACAAGCCACGGTACTGTATTCTTCATAACAAAGACAACGGTCTATGATTTGCTACTGGGTAGAATACTGTCGGGTCGCAAAGGCGAAAGATGGTGACTAAGTTTTGGAATTCTTAACCGGACCGTTTGGTGAGCCGAATCCCGACCAACAAGGCGGGTGGGGCCGTGTGAAAACCGCAACCCGATGGGGGCCGATGTCAAGCTCAAGGGATGGTACGACCTTTGGAAAAGGTCGATGACCAATCAAGTCGGTGATCACTGCCACAACCGGGGAGGTGTGTGAGTGGATCGTACGCCAACGATCCTAGGTGGGATATCGGTGGTTCACCGATCCGGTTACGGCCATGTGAAGGCAGTGGTCAGGGCTGCTTCTGTATAGAGGCTATTTGAGACGCCCGGTAAGATAGGATCATTTCGTGAAGCGCGAGAGAACGATGACCAGCCACAACTTAAGACCTCCCCATCTCAAATATACTGGTGTTTCGGGTCAGAAAACACCTAAGGAGGGAACAACGGTGGTGGAACGGCAAATAAAGCCTAGTTGGGTTGGAATCAGTGGAACAGTAGGCTCTGGTTGTTAAACCACCAGAAAATCACCTGTTTTAGCTTCACCAAACTGGGTATATTTCACCGACGAAGAAATAGCAGATTGAATTCATTGCTATAAAGAGGCATGTAACATAGTGTTTGACAGCCGGCCTAGAATTAGGTCAGTATGAAAATATACAAAAATACTGAAATCTCATCAGTAAAGAAAAAACAAACAAGACAACAACTTGGCTCTTTCATTCAGACATGTTTCAATGGTGAACATATCCCTATGGTGAAAGATACCAACCAACAAAGACAGTTCATCATGGACCACAAGTGAATAGAAAAGACAGCGAAACTGTCTACCACCAAATACACCATACATACATTTGGCAATACATCCCTTCGTTTTTGGCTTTTGTTTAACATGTTGTCCTTAAAGCTTTAGGTTCTTTTTACGAACGGTTTGAGTGTATACCATGAAAGACGTAGGAAAATAGCCTAGATCAGTCCGATTCCAAGCAAATGAAAACACAGACTGCAACTTACCAAACTGCCACCCATAGGCAGCGTGCGAAATTTCGCTTCGGACGATGCGGACCGCGTCATTGTACCGAATAGGGATGGTGCATTTATCTCAGTCCGAGCACCCTGGGCAGCGGTGCTTGGGACAGGATCCGTATAGTCCGAACGAGACACGCGCAACCCGGAAGGCCATATTTCTTGCTCTGGTGTGCGACCGCAACAACTCGAACCGCATGAACTAGCACCAGGGGACAGTGTGTTTCTACCCAATGAGTCGTACTGGGGGCATGCGTGAGATGAGCCGAAGGAAGAATCGAAACCAGTTATGAGAGGTGAAGACTGTGTGTCGACAGAATTCGGTGTGAGGACAGTGGATTTCATCACAGAAGTGGATGACTCGGATCTGATAGATTCGTAATTAGGCAGACACGATGCCGAAGACCATGGAAATCGAGGATGAGGAGGCGATGGCATGGTGATAGGGACGGGTAATTCTTTGTTTTTCCTGGATACCTGTTGGATGATAGATGGTGAAGAGAGACGCGCCGGAACAAGCCATTCTGCATCCCAACCGTTGTCCTTAATCAGATGAGCTAACTCTACTATCACTTTTCCTTCCTTATATCGTTGACTGGCTTCGAATGCGCGCTCATAACGCCAACCCAGCATTATATTACAACAGGCACAAAATACATCTGCCACGAAATGGATTCCGGTTAGAAGAACGCGTTGCTTGGCCTCAGAATAGTCAACATTCACAACCTGTATTTTAACGAATGAAACAGTGCACCAGAAAAAATAATGTAACTGGATATGAGCGAGATGAACATGCATAGGAAACGACCAACCATAAAGAAGGTAACGAGTGGGTAGGTAACCTGTACACATATGCGCGGGTAAAGTCACAAGAATGCAACGCAAAAAGGCATACACAATAAAGAGCAACTTTAACCGTGGACACCGGCGAGCGAAGAGATAGAAAAGCCTTCTGAATGCTTTTTATACACCGCACCCGCTTCCATTCGGATTTTCTCGAGCTGATCAAATTTTGTTCAGTGTGGTAGACGCACACCAGTTTGAGCCATGTATGCTGCATCCAAAGGTGCGTGTTCCAGCCTCTATGCCCGTTACGCGGTTACCGTGCCTTAACTCTCCTCCACTTATGTCTTAATGTCTCCCGGCGTTGTACCAAGTTCCAGGGGCAAAGCCGCATAGCTAAAATGGATTAAAGTGGACTATCGGCTGTGCGCAGTAAAACTCGAGCGTTGAGCAGAGACCAACTGTCTTTCCAGCACGAACTTCAGGAGTACAAACCAATGGTACACCATAATATATTAGTGTATAATACTATAAAAATTTCATGCAAACTCTCTCAAACGTCACGTGACTCATGTTCTGTCAACTTGTATAAAACCGTGGCAAATAACTTAATTTTAAATGGCTTGCTTATGGAAGGTACACTACGTTGTTAGAATACAGTTTGTTAGAACATGGCGTGATAAGGACCTTGTGAAAACACATACAGCCAGTAACGTGACGCATCCGTAGTAGTTTCCAGATCCATGAACGCATCATGTCGACTACACAGCAGCTGTTCCGATGGGCCATTTATGTCACGTGATGTGCTTGGATGGTACCTCTGACTATGTTTCATATCATATTCAATGATGAAGAAGAATGCAGAAAGTCGGATGTCCGAAAATTGGATTGTACACGAGAAATGTATGAAATGATAAAGAAAACAGAATACTTGGTATATATATATATATATATATATATATATAACACTTGTCTGAGGCCAGACTGTGTCAAGCATATCATGGTACAATAATTATTATTAAAAAGAAAAGCACTGCATAATGGACTTCTGGGCTGAATACTGCTAGGTTGTCCAGGCCAAGGCAGGTGATTTTTTTGAGGAATTCACAACCGGAGTCTTCGGCTGGTCAAAGCCTGACCCGCAAAGCAGCGTGGCGGTGCGAAAACCGCAATCCATTGGGAGCCGGTGTTCAGTTCATCCGATCTTACACCCTTCGGACGGGGTCAAACGTCCAAGGTGCCCAATACACCTCAATGCCCAATTGAGCCGGTGACCATTGCCGTAATTGAAAAGGTGTGTGGTTTGCACGCCTCCTCTTGGTTGGTTTGGAATCGGGGATTTTGGCCAACTTCCCTAGGTGAACTACCGGTGGTCCACCAACCCTGATTTCGGCTTTTCGTCCTCTCACTTTAGTGGGAAGGACCTCCGCCACGTGAGGGCAGTGAGTAAGGTTTCCTCAGCAGAGGCTATTCGAGACGCTTGGCTGTACGGGAGCATATCGCGAGGTGCAAGGGATGGTGACCAGCCGCAACCCTAGACACCCACCCCCGACCATACAGAGGCGAATACTTGGTGTGAAAAATTAGGACCATAAACTATGCAATATATTCCTTTACACAACCTCTACCACCAATAAGAATTTGTATATTCTTTTATAAAGCTATGAATGTTGTATTGGATAGGGAACACACTGCAATCAACGTCCAGGAAAACGAAACCTGTCAACGTTTCTGGTTTGGATAACTATCAACTATTCCTTAAACGGTCGAGTCTCTACACCATATAGCGGCACTGGTCGAACTGCTGCAACATACACTCTACCCTTCACGGACAGCTCGATGTAGCAGTCGAGGCAAAGACGTTCCTAACTGGCAAATGCTAACCGATCCTGTTGAATGTGTGCTGACATCTCATCTGTAATGCGGCAGCCAAGTGAGATGTAGCTGCCCAAATAGTGTAAATGTGTACTTAATCTATCGTTTTCGCAGTTGCAACTAGGTTCGGAGCTGGTCCGACCCAGTTCTACGACAACATTCGCAGATTTAAAACGCGTTCGTCACTGTTCCTAAACATACACTGATTGTCATCACGGCGCAAACACGAGAACAAGAAACAGTTAAATACAGAACACTCGTCGATAGTGTGCAACCTTGAAATGGACACTCGAAGAGAGGAAGAAATCGGAGGGGGAAACAACCTAACCAAGAGGAGCAATACAAGTCGACGGTCATTGGGTACGTACCCATACCGCGAAAAAACAATGACCATTTAGTGAGTCAACTACTGGGCATTGTTATTGTTGTTATTGCTAGGGCGTTGGCATCCTGCTTGTCCACAAGCCGGTGTTAAATATATATATATATATAAATATGAATAAGTAGTTGCAAACGCTAAGCGAATCCACTGTAACGGATTTTTGTCTGGCAAGCGAACTTCTACAATGAAAAGTCATAAATGTCCGCAGAAAACATCATGCGATATCCCAATTCGGTTGTCACTGAATGAAACCATTGTAATCGGCATGTTGGCCCATAGGTAGCACTGAGGTGTACAAGAACTGGAGTCGCATCACAGAGGAACAAGGTCCCTTAGGACCGCGTAAAACAGCGTGTATTGTATTCACCTATGTCTACATCGAACTATCCATGAAGCAGACTCATAGATAACAGATGAATAAGTCGATTGCAATGAAGTTATATACCGTTTCGGTATGAAATTCCCAATAAGTTTTTAATTTTACGACGAACCATATTGATTACCTTAACGCCATTATAAGCAATACATCTGAAAAGTGCACCAGTAAAATAATCCGGTAAAAATAAAACAGGTACCAGTCGATTTATCTTTATTGAAATAAACAATGAAACGTCGTGAAATTCTAGTGTGAACAGCTACTCAAAGGTCGTGAGTTCGAACCCCGCTACCACTGCTCGTTTTTCTCACCCGGAAAGTAGGTGTTTGACTGCATCCCCCTCCCTCCCCCTCTATCTGACATCGACTACAGAATGTATTGGATGTTAAATAAATAATAACGATAACAAAATATTCTTTAAAAAATAGATTTTAAGACAACTCAATGGAAACACCGCTAGTAATTTTCAGAATGTGCTGTGACAGATGAACACGGATGTGCGACGCACGTCAACTTTCCGGCCTCTTAGAAACCGGTTAATTCAGACAGTAAGAGCTAGTACTATTTAGTTTGCGCTCTGAACACTGCATACAGATGACTAATTTTCCTTTATTTCGTCTAATTTCGTCTCTTTGGCGATTAAAACAAGCGCTTTAAGTTGGTTGACTGGATCAAGTAAAATTTGATCTTTTCGTATCACTGTCTGGTCCATGTTATGCGATAAAGAGTGATGAAGAGTTGGTCGAAGCTGCAGGTGACAAGCAAAAGCATGCCTAGAAATAAACACTTACAATTAAGTACATTAAAATAGGCGTTTCAATAAACCTAATAATAAACGGAAAAGCAGAACAGGTAAAAATCACAATCAAGGTGGGTCACTAGAGTTTCATTAAAACCATGAACCCGTTTTTGGACCTGAAATGATGAAACATACAGTATCTTAACAGAAAGAATGTGCTACTACTGAACCGGGAAATAGTCAAGCCATTTACCATCACGCAATACGCACTGTGCTCACGCATTTTCGTCAGTTTCCTTCCTGCTATTTCAATGTGAGCTTGAAGGAATAATATTTAATTTACCTCCTAGAGGGGAATAAGCCAGCTTCATAAGCGATCACCAACTTATATGAGAGTTTGGTACAGGAGACGTTCCCAGTGTCACTCGGTTCTTCTACTTAAAGAGCCAACTCTAACCTTTGCACTCAAAAGTCAAAAATCGCTTTATTCATCCTAATGGATGGATTCTCAGCTTCTTGCACTCCAGGAACATTTATCGTCGCATACAGTCACAAAAATGTGAAAAAACAGCATCGTCAATTCAAAGGAATGTGGAGTACAAGTTTAAAAATGAATATCGATTGCGTAGGCAATTCAAGAAGTTTTCTCTAACAGATATCTTTTGAGCCAGAAATCTCGAAAGATAGAGGATGACGGACAATCGATAGGCGGTGGTACGAGCATACACCAGTTCATAACGACATCTTGTTGCAGAAGTGGATATAAATTAGTTAAGTTCTGTGTGTAATGGGTGAGTGGTGTCTGATAGAATATTGTTACAGAAGTTATCGCAAGAGGTACAATTTCTATCGGCGATAAAGTTAAGCAAGTGCAAGTAAAAAATACCGCTCGTGCGAGAAATAATTTTAATAGAACGGCGTAGAATTGTGTAATCTTTAGCTCTCAGACCGGCAAATAAAACTGGGGAACAGTAGAGAAGAAGAGTAACAACACAAGAATATACAAATCGAGTGAGTAAATACAGTGGAACTTTTAAAGAACGCAAGCGGATAATGAAGAAACACAACCGTCGAATTTTTTACAAAAGTAGAAGTTAAATGTGAGGTCCAAGTGAGATCTTGGCGGATAGTGACACCGAGGTATTGTAGAGAGTTTACTGGGGGAACAGGCTGGTTGTCAACATAGAGTGCAGAACAATTTCTTTCAAAAGAACGTAACCGTTCTTCTTTTGGCAAGTGAAAAGGTGACATCGCTATATTTAGATACATTGAGAGATAACGTGGGAGACGAAGACCATAAGTTTAAGGCAGATAAACTGTGAGAAGAGGAAATCAACTTGGAATTTGGAACCAAATGTGACATCATCAGCATACTTAATAAGACCATTTGGGTTAGTGGGAAGGTCATGAATACAGAAAGAGAAAAGAA